ATATATATATATATGCACACGCACCGACACCCACGCATACTCTGTTGTCCTTGGGCTGGGCTGCAGGAGCTTCCTGGCAGCCAAAATGGGAGCGACACCGCGGGCTATCCCAAAGAGGCGGCAGACGTTCCCCTGCTGAAGCTCTCAAAGGAGGAGGCGAGGCCCCTTGCCTGTTTTGGGGGCAAGCTGTATCATTTATCATGTTGCATTATATATCTTAGTTACACTGTCTCATATTACTTATATCATATTTAATCATATTGTATCATATTCTGTCATATTCTATCATAATCTTCTATCATAATCTAGTTCTATCATCTTATATCATATTAGATTATACCATTTTTGTCTTCTGCGATTGCCAGATGTCAGGGTCGACTCTTCTGCTTCCTTCCGCTTCCGAAGAGTGCCCTCTCGCTGCGCCTGGCGGCTCACGTGCACGCGTTGCGAGCTTGGCCTTCGCCATCAGCCCGTGAAGTGATTTTAGGGTTAAGGGTGTAGGGCATGAAGCTAAATCGCACGCTGCGCCCTGCTGAGGCCCCTGAACACCACACAGGATCGTCGAAATGTACTCATGGATGAGCGGGTCGGCGAAAGAGAGCTGATCACCAAGAACGCGGCTGGCCCAGTTTGAAGTGGAGATTGCGTGCGAAAGGGTGCACAGCTCAAACTTAAACTCATCGGAAGGGTCTAGATCGAATCAGCGGTTTCACCAAAAATGTGAGTTTCGATGCCCGGCTAGACTCCAGATGTTTTTTAGTTAACGGGAAATAATAATTGTTAATTGATTCTATCGTTTCGGTGGTTTGTCATTCGATTCAGTCGTTTCCGTGGTTTATGTTTCCCTATCTTGCACTATCTTACTTGTCTGAATTTCTTGGGTTCCGCTTTTATGGCAAGTCTATGGTCTTCACGATTCGAAAGGTCTACCCCTAAGCCCTAAACCCTAGACCCTAAGCCGTAAGGGCCAATGCCATGCCCCATTGCACCGCTATGTTGGGACCCCAACCGGAGCAGGTCTCGCAGCAATCTCCGAAGTAGGTCCTGGGTTTAGGGGTTTAGGGTTTAGGGGTTTAGCGGTTTAGGGGTTTAGGCGTTTTAGGGTTTAGGGGTTTTAGGGTTTAGGGGTTTTAGGGTTTAGGGGTTCAGGATTTAGGAAGAGCTACGAAACAATACACAAGCCAGAAAATCATAAGCAACATCATTAAGCAAACTGTTTTGACCACCGCTGCGTGTTTTAGGACTCCACGAATTCGAGGACTTCGTTTCGCAAAACGCCTCAAAATCCTTTCGAAAGTCAGGAAAGGGGAGCTTCGTATGAATACCTCACAACGTGAGCCTGGGATGAGGGGAGTTTTGCATGGGTTTTTTGAACTTCCCCCCACCGATGGCTCCCCAAATTGTTGACTCTTCGGCTTGGGCGATTAAAAAAAAGAGGCCCGATGTCAGTCTGTCTATCCCCGCTCCCACTCTCTCTCACTTTCGCTCTAGCTCTCTCTCTCTTTCCCCACTCACTCACTCACTCACTCACTCACTCACTCACTCACTCACTCACTCACTCACTCTCTGTCTCTCCCTCCCTCCCTCCCTCCCTCCCTCCCTCCCTCCCTCCCTCCCCGTCTGCGTGGTCGACGGAATCCCCGAACGAGGGCATACACTGGGTGCTGGGAGACTGCTGACACGCTGCAGCTTTACAACGAAGGGCTGATCATGATGAACTGGTATCAAACATAGTTGCCACGCCAAATCCACCGCAACCCGGAACGTGAAGGTTTCGTAAGATTTCCTACTCAGAGAAATCGTCGGAGTCAGAAATCAGCCAGAATCTATCCAATAAGAAGCTATTGCTGGATCTCCTGTCTGTGCTGAGCCCGGAACTCACAAGCATTCCTCAGGTTCGTCTACTTGATGTTCGCATCCCTGAGCGCGTTCCTCAGCAAGCCAGACAAATCAAACTGTCTGTACAAGAGACCCTAAACCCTCTGCTGTGCAGATTCCCGAGCTGGCCCTCAAAAAAAAGCCCTAAATATCGAGACGGAGATTGTCCAGGTGCATTGCTCGCTGCATACTGAACCTTTCGACGCGGGCGTCTCCACAGGAGTCTTGACAGTTTCCCCATTGTATCGGCATCACAAAGGCAGCACGTCAACCTGCAGGACTACTTCAGCGTCTTTCCGGTCTTGCATCCGAGTGGACGTGGTGGAGATGGTGCGCTGCCGTGCATGATGTCTTATGATCCCCGGAATGAAAGTTGCCGTCGAGATGGCGAACTAGAAACAGTTCCAGCTGCATTGAGTTCACCAGCACTACTGGGTGCTTTCGCCACAGTCTGGCTTGAGACGGCTGCGCCCTAAACCTGCTAACTCGCTTGCGCCACGGGCTTGAAGGCATTTTCAAGCGATTCGCAGGCCGCAAACAAGAGGTGCCGGAAAGCACCGTTGCAGATCGAGTCGCCAGTTGCTCAGGCGTCCGTGTTCAAGGGCGGGCGGAGATGGCACCCTCTTAATAAATAATATATATATATGTATGTATATATATATATAAGATAAGATAATATAATATATTCTTCTCTCCCTCAAACTCCCCATGCTCAGGCCCAGTCCTTTTACAAGCTGCTGATTCGACGCGCCGAGCCTTTCTTTCCGACCGTGGCACCATGCCCAGTCAGACACTGTAGACCCCGGAGGACTCTCTAGACTCTAAACCACCAAACCCCCCTCTGCCCAAGGCCCCGTCGGAAGGAATGACCTGGAGCACCTGCGTCTCCTTCAGTGAGGCGGTCTTCTGCTCCCCTCGCGAGGCTCCACAGGGCAAGGTAGCAGTCGAACGGTTGAAGTAGAGGATGGTGTAGGCCTCGAGGTCTCTGAAAGTTCAGGGTTGCAGAGTGTATGGGGCTTCAGTGTTTGGGTTCAGAATGTATGTATGCGACAAGATGTTACGATCGTAGCCAGTATAGTTAGCTGGATACAGAAGAGAACCGTAGTTCGTCGTCTTCGGAGCTCTGAAACCCTGCCAGATTCTCCTTCCCAATGTTTCTCAGAAGTTAGGGTTTAGGGTTTAGGGTTCAGGGGGATTGTCTTGGCATCACAGCGCCACCCAGCAGCCCGCCCTTTGCCGGCCCGACACGAGAGCAACAGATCGAAGCCCACATGGTCACCTCTGCCTCTCCTAGGACTACGCCCACTCCACGTAGTCGCAACGCAGGGCCCCCATACACTGGCCTTGAGGGCAGTTCTCTAAATTACGGTCCCCTTTATCAGTTCCCAACAAAGTACGGCACCCTTATCAAAAGGCCCCTAAAAAGGGACCCTAATTTAGAGAACTACCCTTGAGGCAAAGCTATCCAGTGGCGGTCCCGCAGACCAGGGAGCTGCGCTTCTGACGGCCGTGTGCCAATGCTCGAGCCCTTGCACCACTTGTGGGGTTCTTCCAGGTCGGCTCACGAAGGATTCTTTTTCTTCTGGCCGAGGTCTTGCGCGTTTTGGCGTTCATGTGGTGAAGATCCCGCTCCGAGTGCTCGAATCCTTTGAACAAGTACTGCACCCCGCGCAGCCGCGCGTGCCGTGCCCCCAGAAGACGGCTCTTCTCACTCTTGGCCCTTCATCCGGACTTCTAGACTTCACAGGTTGACTCCGGCGTGGTTACGCCAGTTCCTTCGAGCAGTTGGCGCCAGCAATTCCAGCAGGGGCCTCGGCGCCGATCACGGGAAGCCTTCCATTGCGAAAGCCCTGTACGTCCCAAAAAGGCTTTCCGATCTCTGAAGATGCAAAGTCTGTCTGGGCCTTTACGAGTTTTTTGTGGAGAGCTTCGCATTAGACTTTTGGTGTATCGGAAGCTCGGAGGCCACGCTCCCCGCCTCTGAGATGCGCAAGAATGCAGAGGTCTCCATCTCGTCTTTGACAACGGAGGAGGTGCCCAGATCCGTAAAACCTGGCAATCGATCCGACATATTTTGGAGTTCAGAGTCTCGAGCTTCAGGCACGACTCAGACTCTCTGATCCGCACTTTAGGCCATTGCTTTGTTGGACTATGCCATAGCAGACGGGGACTTCGCAGACCTCGAGGGAGTACCGTTGCTGATTTCAGAGGCCGGGAGAGCCACACTCTGAAGCTTCCCGGCACCATGCTGAAAAGCCAGGATGCAGCAGTGGGAACAGTGAGCTTCACTTCCACGTCGAGTGCTGCCGGGATTTTCGTGCCCGAGGACGCGTGTAGGGTGTTGCCAGAAGAGAAGAATCAGAAAGAGCTCTGCGTGCTTTCGACCGACTGAGTGAGGACGATGATGAGTATCAGCTCCTTCCCCAGGCTGGATGCCTCTGCCTCACCCTGCAGCTCTTGCATCACTCCTTCATCTTTTCCCTTCCCCGCTTCTCGGCGCGCTCCCAGCCGATCTTGTGGAGGCACCGCGGCGTGTGCTCTCAAAGAAAGTCCGAGCTCTGCGCCCTTGGGCTACTGCCTCAGCCGACTTGACCCAGCGATGCACCGGAACCTGGCATTCTGAGACTCTCGATGTGCGAAGAAGCCCCGAGGTGTGGCAGCACCTTCGGCAGATGGCTTCCGGCGATGCACCACAAGGGCAGAAGCCATCAGGCCTCCCCTTCTTGAGGCTTCCTTAGGCTTTTGCAAGAGCTGAATGGCGGGTCCAGGCCCAAGCGGAAGTTTCCAGCCCCAGCCTCAGGATCGGGGATCTGACCTTGGGCGGCCTAAGGATGGTAGTATGTGTTGTAGTTCTTATGTTTCGATGGTCGCCTTGAATGTCTCTATCATGCTATCAAAGGTACAGTAGCATAGTAGCATACTGTACCACACCGCTCCAGTTTATCTTTTTGGGATGCCGCATTTCACTAATGTTCATGTCCCTGTGTAACTCGCTGGAGCTTACAGGCTGAAGCGGATGAGCGTCGAGCCGCTGATGGCCGCGTTGCAGGCCCACAGCTCAGCTTCAGCTTTGTGCCGCTTTTCCGCTTGAGGCTTCAAGGGTTGGGGTTCAGCAGAGGCTTCAAGTTTCAGGTTTGGGCTTTAGGGATGTAGTGTTGGGGATTGTGTGGCTTCCTGTGCCGAGGAACTGCTGCCCAAGGGCTGGAATGTGAAGTCTCCGGAGGTGCCCAAGTCCGAGTGGGAAGGCAGCCCGCTAGATCTCATTCCTTCACGGTGTGTGGTCTCGTTTCTGTACCACTTGCTGGATGCTTCTAGAAATATACGTGCTTAAAGCCGAATCACACCAGTGCATGCGGTGAATTCCAACCAAACTTCGAGCCATGCTGGAGCACTGCGAGTCTGACATCAGGCTGGGTGGAGACATGGTTGCGGACGCTGATGCTCGGCGGCACTGCAGACAGAGGATAAATGTGGTTAACAAGATGGTGGCTCAAATGAGACGCCAGAGAGGGCGGATGCCTTGCCTGTTGACGCTTCAAAGGTGGCATTGGCTAAATCGGATGAGTGCCGCACACCGAGTCAAGAGCAAAGCACATCGGCTCTGATCCCGTCCTCGCCGAAGGTTCCAGCCAAGAACCTGCTCCATTGGCCGCTGGTGCCAAGTTTGCGACCACTTCCGACCCCGCGACTTGGTAAACAGCGTGAGAATGTGAATGTGACAGAATGTGACAGAAAGGATACTATAGGGTTCTATAATTGGCCCCCTTTAAAGAGTACTGTAGTACTCTATATATATATATGTATATATATATATTTATTTATTTGTATAAATACACGTATAGGGGAGCTGGAGAGCAGCGTCGTGATCCTCCGAGGATCGTGGAAGGCAGCGAGGCCTGGCATTGCCGAGCTTTCAGTCTGTACCGTTATATCTTGTAACATATGACAGCAAATTATAATGTAATGAGTTATCGTGTACTGTAGTATATCTATCTATCTATTTATCTATCTATCTACCTATCTATATGGAATATTGTAGTATGTTGCGGCAAATTAATCGCAAACCATCCTATACTACAGTATATTACAACACATTACTGTACATAGTGTATCAGAATATGCTGCAGAACAGCATAGTATTCTACAGCACATTACCGTATATTGCGCCGTATATCATATTATGCGAGAGCATAGCATACTATATTATAGACTGTTATAGTATACCATAGTATACTCTAGTATATTTAGGTAATATACGCTATATCGTGCTGTATGGTGCTGCTACAACTCACCAAGCCTCTGTGAAGGAACCGGTCTCAGACACGCAGCCAGAGTACAAGGTTCGATTGCACAGGCCCGCCGGAAATTGCGGGACGTGCGGGTTGCATAATGTAATTCAAAATGTTACATAAACGAATATATATTATATATATAGTACTTTCTAATGTGTAGCATAATCTAGAATAAGCGTGTATAATATATAGTCATGACATTCTAATATCAGTGCGAAAAATCTTGTAGCACTTTCGAATCCGGCCCTGGCTTTGAAGGCTGCTCCCGGACAGTACCCTCTTCAGCGCATCGGAAGAGCAAGCCTCCAGAAGGCAGGACTCACAACAGATGGACAGGTCAGAGGCACGGTGCTTTGCTTCGAAGAGTGCTCTGAGTAGAAGTATGCTGCCAAGGCCAGCCAGTGGAATCTTGAGCGGAGAGCATGCGCGGCCTTTGGTTTGGTGCTTAATTGCCTGTGGGTGATTGTGAGTGATAGCTGCGGCTACGTTAACAAACGCGGCTGTATGTATAATATACGCATGGGTGCACAATGTTGCACATACAAAGACGGCGCGAATACATCCTTCTAGCATCCCATTCTCAGCTGCGTCCGAGAGCCTGGTGAAGGTCGAGCTGCTTGAACATCGATTGGGCTGCACACCAGCCTACGTCTCGGAATTGGCGGTTCGATATATATATATATACATATATATATGTATATGTGTGTGTATACATATGTATATAAATATATATATATATATATATTCATTTATGTATTTGTATGTACTTCTACATGTATCAGAAATATACAACAGTAACGTATAATATGCAATCAATACTACATTTTCGAATTGAAGACATAACTTGTACTGTAGCTCTCCTACTCTGAGGTCTGGTTGCCCAAGTGGCTGAAGGGAGATCGAGAACGCCAGCTGAGCGGTTTCGTTCACCCTGCAACTGCAGACGGGCTTATGAAGGCAGGGTTTAGGGTTTAGGGTAGATTTTGTATATTATATCTGCATGTTACATATGTACATACATATATATATATAACCTGTTATATAATGATATTGCGTATTATATCATTGACTTGCATGGCTCATGGATCTTCCAGATATCCAGCTCGCAGGCAGCTCATTCCAGACTGCGATTACTGGTCAGGGAGAAGCATGCCGGGCAGGCACGTGGTTCCAATCAATCCTAGCCTGGCCAGCACAGCGCAAGCACTTTTGAATGTAGCACGATGCATGCATAAGAACTCTGCATGAGGTTTCTTCCCGATCCGCAGCCGTCCTCGAGCTACGGAAGCTGTAATTCTCCAAGCCTGCAGTGCGCAGTACGGCCTTACAC